TTTTTGTATTTTTCTTCTCTTGTTTTCCAGTTCCTTAGATATAGAGAAATTCTAATTTGACCCACATTTAGCGAATATAGTACTTTAATAAATATACATAAAACTATATAAATATGCTATTGAGCAAATGTTGGTAGCCCATAAATATGGTTCTAAAGTTATTTTATATTTATAACAGCATGTTGGATTTACATATTTTACAAAACGGTATTCATATTTGATTTGATTTTCACAATTTATATGTTTTTATCCTTCTCTCGATTAGAGCCTAGTTCAAAATATTTATATTTTATTTTTCCGCTCCTATGTGTCAGAACTTCCGACAACCAGCGAGGGTGATGTCGTGATGTAGAAGTTGTAAAAAGTCTTTAGTAGGCTCAAAGGAGATAAATGTACAGCGGTTTCCTTTATTATCTTGATTTTAATGTTTATAGTTAGTGGAGGAGATCCTTCGTCCAGCTTTTTTTGAGCTTCGTACGGGTGTTATCGGTTATGTTAGTTGTGGCCATGTCTTGAATCAGTGAGTTGGTATGTTAGCGTTACTTATTATGAAATGTGGTCGTTAACTGTAGGCATCTGTAGGTCTTTATGTTATGTTACCAGGGAGCATTGGTGATAATCATGAAAGTTTTTGATAGACTAATCTGTAGTGTACGTATGTGAGTCTTTTTGTCTGTCCCGTATATATGTGAAGGGTAGGTCAAAATGGGCTTGAGTAAGTAAGAGTATGTATTCAATATCTGTCTGGGTTTCAATTTTGAATGCCTTGAAAGGAGTGACTATAATAGTCGCGATCTTAGGATTACAGTTTTTGTTTTGTTCTTGATATGTGGGTCCATGTCACTAGCGGATCCAGGATTTAATTTTGGGGGGCTTCAGCCCGAAAGATTTTTTTTTTATATACATATACCGATAATTAATTTGAAAAAAAAGAAATTAATTACCTATATGAAATGGTGTTTAAGTAGTTCTTGAAGTCCTATTAAATATAATTACACGAACAAGAATACTTTAAGAGATAGTTTTTAATATTTTTTTCTGTAAAACATGGATATGTTTTACCATTTTGGGGGAGCCTTCAACCCGAAAGCCCCTTCCCCCCCGTAGATCTGCCTGTGGTCCATGTCAGTTCAAGATATTGAACTTTGTCTGACAAAGGAATTTCGACATTGTCAAAGTAAACAGCAAGGCAAGTTTCACGTCGAATGGTAAAAGTGATATGTTGTGATTTGTTTTGGTTGGGTGGAATTTTCCAGAGTTTGAATTTTTTTAGGTGATATTGTAGATTCTGTGAGACGTATGTTGGATTTTTATGAATATTTAATAATCAACAGTTTATTAATATGCCTAATTATTTTAACAGCATTATATTTAACAGTAGATATAGATATAAATAACAGTGATATTGTAAGTAATTAAAATGATATCTCCTCGACTGACTAAACGTGCTATTGATACATTCAAATTCAAAATGTTAAAACTACAAAACATCTATAGTAACTAGTTATGATTAAAAAATAAATCTTACACTAGGACTTGTCGTATGGTTGTTAAAAAGATTTCATCCTGTAATCTGGTAGAGTACATTTATCCGACAGGAACCGACTGATGAGAAGAGTTGCAATATTCTTAAAGCAGGTTGATTTTCAAGATCAAGATTCTTCCTCTTCACTACTATTAAACTAATAATTAATTTAATAAGTGATTAGCTTCTTCCACTAGAAAATATTCCACCACAGTAATAGTTAAGCAATAAGATACAGTCATCCCTGAACTTTAAACTAATCAGTTATTGAGCTCATTCAAGACCTATTATTTTTTTCTGCAGAAGAGTCTTGGTTTGCAGTTCTCTCACTTAATTAGAGTATATAATAAAATAGTAGTAATATAATATATATAATAATAATATAATATATGATAGAAGTATATTACCGAGAGCATAGAAGCCCGCTGGGCGTTATTTTATTTATTAAAAATATCCAAAAGTATCTTTCTATATTATCCGAGTTGTTTAAGGGAATATAGAGATGTTTTCCTTTATTTTTCAATAGATTTTTAGTTTCGTAGAAGACTATTATAATTCGCAATGTTTTAATTTTTAACTTAAAAAAATATAAGTGTCCAATGGTAACCATATCATCAAAGAGGCTTTCGGTGAGATTTACGATCTATCTAAAAAAAAGTACATTTTTGGGTCCTTAAAGACAGAATCTTTTAGAGATAATTTATATCTCGATACTTCGATTTTTTTAAGCCATCTGAATTTTGATTTTCCTTTTTCTAAGAAATTATCTTTTCTTTGATACCTCATTTATTAAAATATATTTCTCCTGAGAGCCGGAAAAAAATTATTTTCCTTTATACAAATGTACGATGCAGCTGAAACAAGGCGTTTGCGGACATACCTTCAGACGATTTTTTTCTTGTTTTGAGTTCCTTAATTTATATTTTCAGTTTGGCCACTTAACCCTGAAACATCCTATATATATATATATATATATATATATATATATTTTTTTTTTTTTTCCGGTTGTCTCTACAGACCTTGTAGATCTTTGGCCGCCTGATATATTTATTAAGAAATATTACAATCTGTCTCAAGTAAGGAAATTTATAATAGTAAGCACATTCACACTCAAGGTACAATAAATAAAAATAAATTAAACAGCAAAATAATATAACTAAAACTAGATATATATGTAAAAAAAAAAAGACAAAATAACTGAACTAATCAAAATAACGACTTAAAAACAAACATACTTTTACACAAAACAAAATGTATTAATTTATAAAATTTCTTTATTCAGAGAAACTCCGAGTCAATGAATCATTCCTCTCTCGCAGCCATATTACTGGTATTAAGGACCAGTGGAGGTTTAACAGAGGCGTTATAACCAGGCATACATTTTAATATATAGAGTAGATTTTAGACAATTTTTCTTTAGTTTAAAAATATATTTGAATTGTATTGAATATTTTGGAAACACTTGATATTTTGATTAACTTTTATATGTCCGTGTTATAATTGTGGAGCTCATCAGAGCGGCAATAAAGGGGGGACCGCAGCCTGGAGGATAATATCTGACCCCCCCCCCTCTTCTCCACTCCTGAAATATCGATAACTCGCCAATTATCGAACCAAATTCATCGCTCCCTATCCGCTGTAAATACTGCAAGTTATGACCCCATCCTTCCCTTTTATTATGTTAATAACTGCCCTATTTGTCCTGCCCGGCTTAATTAGTGATTATTGATTCAGGATTTATTAACAATCGATAGGATCTACCATAGCAGCTCTGATTTTTTATTTATTTTTTTTTACAAACCAGGTCAAGAGAATCGTATAATCGATATTGTTTCAACATTAAGAGTGTAATGAAATATTTTACTTGCGTTTAGGTAATAATATTAAAATATTTATAAGGGTTCTCGCTACTCATAGTTCTCTTATTATAATTATGGCGATTCATAAATTTTAAGTTAACATCCTTGAACTGTTAAATAATGGGTTATTGGTCATATTCCGAACCCTTCACTGCTACCCACATAAAGAATATTCGGGATTTATTAAAAAAGGACAAAATTCCGAACTATTAAGCTCGTGAAAAATTCGGTTAAATCCATCATTCTTCAACTTATCAAAATGTAATCTAATTATTTCCTTCCAATCTAGTGATTTTCGTAAAATCTTCGCAACCTTTTTAAGAAATAAAGTCATGTAGTTATCAATTATTTCATCCTCGGGATATCTTTATTGAATAAAGATAAACCCCTCAGATATATTTTCGTTTTTTTTAAATAATAATTTTAAACATAAAGTTTACACAAAAATTATCTATATTATAAAAAGTGTTTCAAATTTATTTATTTTAATTTTTGATTCTTTTGAAATCAGCCCGAAGAAAGAACTAAATGATGTATTGAAAAAAATAAATAAATTAGATGATTAGTTTTCGTTTAAAGGATAAATAAACATTCAGAGAAGCTCCCTGAACAGTGAATTTCGGTGATGAATTTCTCACTTACAAAATGTCCGATTTTCAATTGGTTAAAAGCACTTTATTTGTTTACACGAAATCCAACCTAATTTGGCTTTGAGCGTTAGTTATGATATTTTTAATGGTGTTCTCGAAGGAATAGAAGCAGATTCGTAAAATCTCTAATTCAGATTTCATAATTTGGTGATTATACTTTGTGATACATAGTTATTCGTCCTACTATTGTCTATGGATGATCATTTAATGGCTGTGTCTCCTCCGGCTTTTATAAAAAATTGAATGTTTTTTCTGAAAATCATGATTAATTTAGCACTTGGTAATTTAGAAGAAGTGCCAATCACTGTCACTACGAAGGTCATGTTATTTAAGTCTCAGATTAAAAGTCTATCCCAAAATTCGAAGGTATCACTCCATGTACCTACCAATGATATTTTTAATTACAATGCCCTATTAATTTTCGTATTTCTGATAAAGTAACCATTTTCTATTCATATCTGCTTCTGTCCTGGCATTTGACCTCAGAATTTTTGTTTACTCTAGTTACTTTTTAAAACACAAACTCATCCTTGTATGTCATTAAATTACTTAAAGATCAAAGAGTTAAAATTTCATTATTTTAGTTGTGTTAAATTATTTTGTTTGTCTTGTGATGTCCAAGGCCTTTTAAATAACGAATAAAAACGTTTTAGCATATATTCTTTATTATCCTAAAAGAGCAGCGGAAAAAAGTTTCCAAGAAATGAAATAGACAGTAAAGTAAATAAAAGTAATAGCGGCCGAAAAAACAAAAAAAAAAATTGAATTTACTGAATATGTGAAAATGATATTAACCACACATATAGGCTTTGAACTATACTTAAAAAAACTACTTACATAAAAATACATTTATATGTCATTTTGAAACGAATACTTTCAATCCTAGGATGGAAAAAAAAAACAATAAAAATATCCATTTATCAATTTACTGAATGTATTAAGCTAAGAGCTTTTCTCTTTCTCTGAATGTATACTACAGATATACCCGCTAGACCTAACGAAATTAGTTTAAGAGGAAAAGAAATTCAAAAAGGAATAAAGGCGAGACTGAGAGAAGCGTCATGTAAGTTTAGTGCCATTCTAAAACAATTAGGAAGATGCAGAAACAAGGAAGGAACGGCTAACGAGAAAAAAGCTGTTTGTGAATGTACTCCGCTTTAATGGATTAAATTGAATAAGGGGGTCCTTTGCCTCTCTCGCCTTCCCCCCCCCCCACGTAGAACTGAAATGATTTTTTTTTTTAACTTTCCTATCCTCCTTTTATTGACTATTTCAAAAATAGTTATCGTTTTAGGTAACTGCTTTTGTAGAACGTAGGGTCCTGTCGTCTTTACAGTTCCGATGGTTTCACCTGTTGCAAGCGATTCAGTATTTTTCTGATTTGAAAACCTTCATGGCAAAATTATAAAACAACCGTTATTGTAAAACTTTTTCTATTTATGACAAAAAAAAGTTATTCTTTATCAGGTGATATGAAAACATTTTTGTGGTTGGTTCCTATAACTACTAACTCTCCATCTCTGCAGTGGGACCATAAATTGGCGCCAAACGGAGGGAGAAATGGGAAACAATAATAGATTGGAGAAGTTGCCTTGATATTATGGCCGCCAAAACAAACCATCACTGAAAACTTGCTCATTATTAAGAAATTGAATTTCGACTTTTTAATTGCTTCGAATGGCACGCCACTTCATTTTTTATGCAGATGTAATTAAATGTTTATATCTAGTGAGTTTTTGAAGATTCGTCATTTCGTCGTTGTTATTTTTAAAGCCAAATCAGTATATTTCGAGGCAATTAAACTCTTCATTATACAGGGTTTCTGAGTTCTTAATCGCCGAACTCTGAGAGACGATTCTAGACAAAATTTCTAACAAAAAAAGTTCATTTGATGCATGGACCAATTCCAAACGGAAAGTGATTCAAGGCTAATTTTGTGTTGTTTTTTTTAAGGTGGTCACGTTTTTTAATAAATAAGAAGGAATTAAATATAATTAAGTTCTAGGTACACCATCGTAAATTAGACAACACTTTCTTTGCAAAAATAATGATTAAATTTACTAAGATCAATGATAAAAAAAAACTTTCTGGAGGTCTAAAGAAGATGCGTTTCTTGATAAATCAGAGTTTTCTCGCGTATTAAGTTATTAAACTATTTATTTTAAAGAGAAAAAAAAATGTTAATCACTAAGTTTCGAACTTATTATAATGTAACTAATCAATGCTGGGAAACAATAAAGGATAGGTAAGTAAATCTACTTATAGTATCTTGATAGAAAGGGAAGGTATTGCAGGAGACATGTGAAGATCAATATTTATATAGTAACTAAAATTGTCAAATATTATTAATTATTATTATACCAGTTTTGCAATAGGCAGGCGCTCATGGTCATGGTCTTGCAAACTGCAAGACCAAGACCTATTTTGGGCAACACTGCTTGGGACGGTGTGGGTTATCATCACGACCAGCACTAAAAGTATTGAAATTTACTATTGTATAATAGTCTATTATTTGAACTCCTTCAGTACTGTTAGCATGCCCTGGTGATTACCCACAAGCTTGGATTGAACAGTTAACAACAATAAAATTCTTAAGAACTGACTATCACCCATGATATGTAAAGCAGTCGACTAACTTCCTTGAATAATTTTCTAAAATTAATAAGAGCTAAAACCATTTTAGTGCATTATATCTTAATTACGATTATATAATTAATAGTTAAAATAAGAATTGTAGTTGAAGTATATTGAAATGGTTAATAATTTTATTAAGTAATTTTTGGAAGATAGGAATTGTTGCCTCTAAACGTCAACCAGCAATTATAAATAATAAATGTATGAAGAAAAAATAGATACCATTCGAAATTCCATAGACTTCAGATAAAATATTTAATTTTCGAAAAACCTTTTAAAGGAGTATTGTGAATTTTCTATGTTCAGAAAGTGCTAAATTACTTTAGTTCATTACAACTATTCTCCAAGGCCTCAATATTGTATAATGTTCATATATTTCAAGTATCACGGGGCACAGCTTGGTTATAGAATTTCTTTAGTCATTCAGTTAATATAAGCGGAGGAGTGAGTGGTCCTATAGGCCAAAGCTTTGAGGGAGGGAGCTCTAAGTGCCTATTGTTATCCTTGCCCTTACCCCCGCCCTCTGATGTCGACCAATCAGCTACGGGATTGCAAAAAGTCGATCCACCAATAGAGGGCAGGTAATGGGAGGTAGACGACAATGTGGGCCCCAGAGAATGTGGCTATGTTTAGCGAAGAGCGCTGAGCCTTGATCTGTTTTCTTTTCATCAGCACCGCCATCCTCCTCCTTTGTGCCTCCTCCTGGACAATGGCTCCTTCATATCTGTCCCCTCCCATCCGAGTCTTCCTCCCTCCTCCCTCATGTTTTTCTTTGTTTATCTTTGTAATTTATCCATTATCAGTCAGTTGTTTACTGAATAGATTTATATATATATTATATATATATATATATATTATATATATATATATATATATATATTTATATTGAATATTTAATAGTTGACCGTTGCATTATAAAGGAAGGAGATGGTCCGGGGGTGCGGTCATAAATAGTCTAAATAGTGGTAAAACTTATAATTAGCCCGGACCATCTCCTTCCTTTATATATATTTATACTTTTTAAAGTTTTTTTTTTCTCGTTAAAATCTTGATGATATATGTTACTATCAGTCACATCGAAGTAATAGTGATAGGAGAGTAGCTCATTCACACTGTGTACAAATTAATAAATAGGAAAATAATAATACTAAAAGTTAATATATTATTAACGAAAAGATTCTAAACTAAACTAATGCAAATAACTGCATAAATACACAAATGTAAGTTTAAAGTAAAGTAAATTAATATTTATAAAATGTTATTTAGAGATGATTCGATATAACGTTGACTGTTATTTTAAAACTATGAGTAAGAGAAATAACTTGCAGTTTAGATGAAGTTTATTAGACTTCCGAACGTTTCGACCCAAGCAATGTAAGGTCATCATTAGGGCTAACAATTAAAAAATAATTTTCACATATAATCACATAAATAAGCCAAGATTAAAAGATGTAAAGTAAAAATAATATAATTGTAATATAAACTGATGATTCAAAAAAAAAAAAGTAACAATAAAATAAGAGTGTATACATAGTACCAATAAATAAACAAAAAGTCTGCATGAAGCAGAGCTAAGAATAAATTATGTGATTTTTTGGAATTATAAAAGGTAACTGGATACATTAGCCAACGTTATTAGTAACTGAAAATAGTAACGAAGTGCATTAATGCTAATGAACCATATCTAGGACTGTAAATCCTGACTATTAGTGATCATCATAAAATATTATTGTTTAATTTTCCTGATTACTTTTTCTTTTAACTTTTCTTAAATCATCGAGAAACTCTGTTAGTAATTGAGTCTTTACTCGTAATAAGAAGATCAAAATAAAAAATAAAAAAATTGAAACCACTGAACTCAATAAACAAACTTTAATTTAATTTTTATCTTTGACATGTCTAAACCATCGATTGGTATATTATATAGTTGAAAGAGATTTTTTACTGTTTTTTTAGATATTAACATGATAGAAATGACTATTAAGGGTGAAACAAAAATTTTTGAAATAAATTGTTTTGCTTGTAAAAAAGATTTCTGTTAATAAAATATGGTTGAGTAATATTATGGTATTTCAAAGCTTTGTCTGATTTTGATTAACATTAAAAATTTTATAAAGATTCCACTAAATATTAACCACTATGATAAGTTGTCTCATAAAAATAGTATTTCACGATACATAACCACTTTATCTTTCTACGCCTTCATCCACTGATGATTCAGCTATTGAACAATTAATCATAATTTCCAAGTGAAATGTAAATATTTAATTTAATTTGGAATATATTTCTATGATACTACTATAACAAAAAAAAAATATGTACTTATAATATTATTGTCATTTCTGTTACAGAGACTGCAGGGTGGTGAGAGACCCACAGACCTTCAAATCAAAGGGATATGGCTTCGTATCTTTTGTCAAGAAAGCCGTAAGTACTCCGAAAAACATTTTATTATTTATTTGTTGTTTTTTGCCATAAAAATTTTAATTTAATATTGTTTCCGCCATATTATATAATGCTAAAAACTTGAAAAAATGGAACTCAATTTTAGAATAGGCATCAAACATTAATTCATGAACGTATTTTTAAATCAATATTTTAATAAATGGTTTATACGAAAAATTACAGAATAGTATCTATAACGTAACTAATATTTAATTTAAAAATTTAATAAAAGGTAATTCTATGTTAGAAGCAATTGAAGAATAAGCAATAATAAAACAAAGAAACTTTTGTAAAAATGTTAATCGATTTAGAAGTTTTCATCTCTTTCTGGTTGCAATTGAGTATAATTTCTCTATCCGTTAAAAAGTTAAAAGGTGCTCGAAACACTCCCTGATGAAGACCCACATGTTTGGGTTGAAACGTCGGGACCAATAAAAACTTTATGATGACTGTGTCCTGAATATTTATCACCCATGATTTTGTGGGTATATCTATTTATTTTAAATTTATGAATACATGGAAAAAGTAGCCCATTCAAAGCAGTAGCGAACCCAGGATTTAATTTTGGGAAGAGGTTCCACTTTATTTATAACCACACACATATATATATATATATATATATATATGTACATATGTAACGATAATTAGTTTAGGAGAAAAAGAAAATAACTACCTATATCAAATCATGTTTCAGTGATTCTTGAAGCCTAATTATTAATATGTATACCTGTATAATTATACGAACAATAATACTTTCTTTTACGTTTCGTAGCTGTACAAGCATTATAATTTAAAAAATATAACTTTCTTTAAGTATTTAGCTTAGATCACTCACAGTAACAATTATAGACTAATGACAATTTTTTTTCCATTTTTGGAGGAGAGGCGTTAGCCCGAAATCCTTAGCCCCCATAGATCCTCTAGTTCTTCAACAATTAATAATTACAAAATGCAAATCATATAAATATAACAATAATTATATAGTTTACTAAAATGTACGTTTTATTCAATGACTGCTATTTCGCAGTTGTTCTTTTGTCGAGATAAAAGCACATGAGGAATCATCGATCTTCAAAAGTCGATATTCATTCTATAAAACAAACCCACGTAATTTGTCACATAATGGATGCCCAAAGATCTTTATCAATGAATGGATAGTCTTGATAAATGAAGGACTGACTGTATAATTACCTGAGATCAGATAACCAGCGAAATTAGAAGTGAAACGAGATCTAGATCCAGCGATAGGCTCAGGTAATGTGAGCAGATAATTGTCTCTCGAGTATCCCCTCTAATAGGACACTATTTGTGCTGCTAGAGTGTGTGTATATACGCATGTAGTTGAATACCGATAATTCGTACGAATCCGCACTTTCTAAAAAAAAATCTCTTTTTAATTCGTGTGAAAGCAATAAAATCCGCCCCCTTCTATTCTCATCTTACAAGTAATGTAAACTTGTTATGACTCAAATTTCTAAATTAAAAACTGGTGAGTAAAATGGGTATGAATGGATAAATAAACTTGTATTGATCTCAATGTGCCGGTTGGATGAGCAGCTGACTCGTTTATTTCCACAGTGAACACTAATTGATTTTTTTTTTTTTAAATTAAAATCACCTCCTAAATAAGTGGTGGAAATATATAATAAGTTTATTTATAAATCGTCATTTTATTTTTCAAAGAATGTAATAAAACTTGCATTTCTTAAGTAGTAAAAAAAAAAAATTAATCAAAAGATTTTTAATATTTTATTAAAATTAGCTATTGCTAATAAACCCATTTACTCACTAAGCCGATCTGGAAATAATAATATAAAAATAAAATACAATTTAAAAAAAGTTTTATTCAAATGAAAATTAAAAATAAATATACGTTATTATACCATTGTTGTTTTTAAATAATTTCTCTTTATAGCACATTTTTTATTATTTTTCTCTCCTCTAATCATACACCATTTTTCTTTACAAACCTAACCCAATTTTTTTTTTTTTTTCAAAATATGCTCTGACGTTTTTCCCAAAAGCGACCCTATTCAATGTTGAATCTGTTTTAATTACTATCGAAATAACCAGTGTTTTTCGGAAGTATGTGTTATTAATAAAATAATTCCCCCAATTTACTTTTTAATAATTGGTTTTGATATATAAGATATATATAAAAAAATAAAATAAAACCGCGTAAAATTTAAGATACTTTGTTAAAGAAGTGTGTTTTTAATGTAGGTTTTCTTCAATACTGGCAAAAACAAAACAAATTAAATTAGTTTATTATTAATTCCAAATATTGGTTTTTAGTTTGTTTCATGGATTTGACTACCTTTTGTGTTAACAAATTAGTAAATAAAAAATATGGTTTGATTCGGGACAAATAATATTAAAAATAATTAATAATCTTTTTGCGTATTGATTAACAAAAGTTTATTTATGTTTTTGGTCAAACTGTTTTTGTTTTTTTAACGAGACTATAGTTATAGTTTCTTGGTTTTTTTTTATTCAAGAATTAATTCCTATTACTAGAACTTGATTATTCTTAACAACTTAATTTCTTGATTATACGGATATTTGTTAAGTTATAAGCCAGTGCTTAATTTAGTATTAAAAATATTTTTAAAGTCCCTTTATACTACTCCGAACGGTGAAACCTAAGACTATTTATTGACTACATCGTCGCAATATTCGGTACAACCCCATAGCCGATGTTTGTAGACCGGAATGAGCCGTATTGGGGCGTACAGACAGAACAGCAGATACACTTCATGTCATGTGTAATTGGAGCCTTTACTAATCACATCACATCCCCTTCTGCTGTTGGCAGTGACAATCCTGCTACAGCGATACTGTTATTGCTTTGGAATCGTATCTCAAAGGGAACGAAGCTGTTTCCTTATTAAACGTAGAGAAAAAAAATCTATATTGAAATACCTAGAATTACAAAAAAGAACTTGAACTGTACAATCCATCCCAATTACAGTAACTTTCTCTATTGTACTCGCCTATACAAAAATATCCGCTACTTTTACAGAATTGCAGCTACCAATAATAGAACTATATATTTGTTTTAAAACACAAAGGTCCTTTGAGCTGACTACAATATCTGATAATCCCATGATGAAACAATAGGAAACTATGACAAGAAATCACTGAAACGGTACACACACAACAAGCGGACAAAGCACATACTTAAAGTGACAAAATCCAACTTCATAACATTACAAATATTGATAAACAAGCAGCAACATACTTTCCACACCAATTATTGAATAATAATTCATAAGATATAAAACATGTGACTATCTGCTTAGTTTTATCTTGTTTATACATTTTAATATTTCTGTTCATTAGAAGGAAGAACTCCTAAAATGAACATAAACAACAATAATAGTATGGATACACTTTAATGATAGTATATAATTTTTATTTTATATATTTTTATTATATATATTTTATTCATTTTTATAAATTATGTAGGTTTTATTAGAGTTTTCCTACTGCAAAAAATAGATTTCAGCATAGGAAATAGCAATCACACCACTTTATTATAACATGCGTAAGGTAATGTGGCCAGAAGCTTGCAACCATTATTATAACTAATGTATTGTATACATATATGTAAATAAAATAATTTTTTTTGGAAAAAAAACCTCCCTATATTATTGAACTTTAAAATGAATTATTTAATTTTAAAGAAGTTGTTATCTACTGAAGTATCTATATCATCGCTGTGTTTGTTTCTAACCGTTATTTAGTTTTGTTTGTTATAGTTTCTTTATTTTTCTTCCAGCGTTAATGACCGTTATGGGTATGTATAAAACCCCAAAAAGTAAATCCTGAATTCCCTACCGGTTCCATATTTGATGCATCTTGGAAAACGGCTCCTGTGGCTTTATAGAAATTTATTGCTTGTGTTGGCTTAGATGACCTATTAGTTCAGTAAAGTTAGAGAAATAAACAGCCTTGCCCCAATATTAAAAAAATAGAGGGGAAACTTGTCATAAATTGTCAATTACCCTCCCCAAAATGATTGGTAAAAAGTCCCAAACAATCCCGCGTCGGATTTTGATGAGGGAGAAGGACAGAAAACTGAGATTTTTTTAGTTTTTTGAGAATATCTCAAGAACTATGAGGTTTTTCACAATCGTTCTGTACATTTTTAAAAAATTTTATTTATAATATTAATGGTTACGGAGATATTTATGAGGTTATATTTATTGTATTTCCATTTTATGCAAAAATTGCTTCCACCGCAAAATTAATGTCCATAGTAGACGATACCTTTTCGAAGTTTAATTAGTTTATTAACATTTTTGATCGTTCAAATTATTATTCAATGTTTCTTCTTTTTAATCATTCTAAAAAGCCTTGACAACAAAATATATTCGATACTAATCCCTGAGAAATTTCGTGATAATGATATGAAGTTTAGGTTGACATTAATTTCATGCAATTAATAATATGTGATCAATCAAGATACATTAAAACTTATGAAAATTTACCATAAACCTAAATGGTCTAATTACATACAGAGAACCAGAAAAATTAAATTGTGTAATTTTTAAGCCCATCACGTTTCATGTTGAATAAAAAGCAATAACTATAAAAATGTTTAAGGTCATAACCAATTACTTTACAGTAAACTAGATTAAATTTACATGAAGTGGAAGTTAATTTTTGTCTATTTTAAAACCATTCAATGGGGACTTTTAAGCAATTAAACTATGTTAATTTCGATTTTTCATAAAATCAAGGATGCTTAGCGATTATTCTTATTACTCCACAGCTGGACTAAAGATACCACATATACAAAAAGACTTCCTTCTTCGATGACCTTAAGTCTATATTAATTAAGTTTTTTGTTTGTTACAGAGTAAGGTGAGATTCATCCCTAATTGGTTAAAAGATGTAAAAATATTTGGATCGATTCCTAATATTTCCGTACAAATAATATTTTTATTCAATTAGAGAAAATGTAAACTCAACTTGATTAATATTGACTTAAAGCCCATCAAACAAGGAAGTTTTTCTGAAAATGTGGTTCCTTCAGACTAGTTGGGGATTTATGAAAAAAAAAATCGCGAAGAATCCTTGATTTTATGAAAAACTGAACTTATCGTAGTTTAACTGCTCGAAAGTCCTCATTAAATGGTTTTAAAAAGGAAATACAGCAAGCAGCTCAATGCAATAAGTCTCTTGGCCAGCACCTCAGGAGTCTTCTGGGCGGATTATATGGATTTGTGGCAGGTAGATTGAGCTCGAGTAAGTGGATTTGAATTTAGAGTCAGTCTGTCATGAAAATTATTAAAGCGGTCTATGGCAGTTGCCGTGATGAAAGGAGTGTTAAGGTCAGTGTGTAACGTTAGGTATGAAACATAAAAGAGTGCGTCTACAATTTTTCTAAGGACTTTTGACAGGAATGACTAGATCATTTTTATATTTGATGTCTTTGCATCATAGTTCGAATCCATAGGTCTAAAGTGGTTTAATGAGGATTTTGTAAATAGTTTATTTATTAGTCACAGATGATTTAGTACGTCTGTCAATTAGCCTAGAAAGTCCGTATCGCCGTAAGTTCTTTTCTTTTTTGTTTTAGTTCTGGTTGTTTCCATGTCATTTAATCTATTTTACTATGGAATAATTGGTTGTGACATAAATTAAATTTTTTTTTTAGTTAATTAAAACCCGACGCGGGATTCTTTGGGACTTTCTGCCAGTTATTATGGGGAGGATAATTTACAATTTCTGACTATTTTCGTCTCTATTTTTTAATGTTGGTGTCCCCAATTTTACTTTAAGAATTTTCTGAATATTTTTTCCGTAGGCTCTAAACTATACTTTCATGTGTTATAATTATGATTTACGTTTATTGCAGTTTTTTTTTCGTGTTAAATTTGGAAAATATCTATTATCTATTTGACTATAAAATAATGTATTTGGTTAAAATGTAATGTAATATATGCATTATGTATTGTATATTTAAATCGTGGGAGAGGGCAGAAGCGGGGCATGGCTATGCTATTCAGATGCTATCTAGAAGGGAAGTTGCCCTAATGTAGAGAACTGCGATAAGATGCAACAGCTACACCTGATTATCGTTCCTTGTCTCTGAAATATTGCCCCGTCAGCTTTAAGAACTAACTCTGTCTCTCTAGATAAAGAACTTTCTCCTCCTCTTCTCTCGCTTTTATAGGCGACTCAATCCAGGATAGTCTCTTTTACAAACCGAGATATATACTAATGAATGTCCGTTGTATTAATGTTTTTTTTTTTTTCTATATTAATTTTTGTTATACTGTTATTTATTACGATAAAAAACATTTTAAAAAAAGTAGTAGAGAAATTTCAACACCACTAATATCTATAGATTGAACAGGTATAGAAAGAAGATAATTTTTTTTTCATAAAGCATTCGGCCAAAGGTCACCAAATATACACGTTTTTACATTATCTATTTATTATTCAACGTTTCAGCTTCACGGGCCATTTTCAAGATTCTGCAAACAAATTTTAATTTAGTTATAATAATTTATAAACAATCAGTTACCTACATAGTCCTAATTCTAGTTTAGAAAAAAAAAATTATATAACGTGACAATTTTTTAATGTTTTGGTTTAAAATTAATGCAAAAATTATCTACCTACCATTCACCCCTTCATAATTTATTTTTTCAAAGTATTTAAGTATAAAAAACGATGAATAATAAATACAGGACGTAAAAACGTATATATTTGGTGGCCTTTATGCTTTATAAAATCACATAAAAAAGGGCACCGAATCTGAAAAATATGACAAGAGAAAATATATATATATATATTTATATATATACATATTTATTTATTTGTTAACTTCATAAAACGTTTAAAACGATGTTTAAGCCTTATCTCATTACATAATAATAGGTAGTCATTTAACTTTTTTTTTTAAGAACATAAATAAATAAAAATCTTAAACTTTCACCACATTACAAAATAGTTCCTTAGAACTTTTGTTTTAAATATTTTTTCTTAAAAAGGTTTTGCAAAAAATATTAAAATGGAACTTTTTAAAAACTTTAGGTTTCCAAGAAATGTAATAAATGTTATCAATCATCTTAAATTAATTATTCATATTAAACTTACGAAACTCACTGTTTATTTTATTTTTTTTGTTTTTTTAAACATACTGATGGTTGAAGCTGTTTTACTTAGCCATGTTAAATACGAAGTATATAAGGGAGCTTATAATGATTCCGTTATGTTGTTGTATTCCATTTAATGATCATAATAAATTTAACTCATAATTAACGCATGAACTTAAAATTCTCTTTAAAAACTAATTTCAAGATAATCTAACCAACAAATATATATTACCGGCACTGACTCATCGATCCCCCCGCCTCTTCTCCACACAGATGCTCAAGAATGAAACACGGTAATGGTTTGTCCTCAATAGAGCCAGGAACAAGGTCGCCCCTGATCAGGGATGTAAATGAAGGCCTGGGTAGATTGGGTAGGACTTGGCATTCTGTTCAACCTCCGGAGGCCCTCACCGTAGTCGATGGACGGGAAACGGTGAACATTCATGAATTTCTTCAGCAGCAGCCGATCCCAACGAGGATATTTTTCTTTATTTCTGGAGATGGTTTTCCATCAAGAGAACTGAGGTATGAGGAAAGGAAAAAAGGAAAAGAAGAAAGGGATTCAATCTTCCAACACAGCTGAACCCCCCATCCCCATTACTTTGATATGAAATGATTCGATACATTTCGCTGTGGTGTTGGCTGATTGTTTCAAGTCTTAAATTGGGAAAATAAATTTATATATATATATATTGGCGAAGATACGTAGGGTTATTTGAGAATCATAAATAGCATTCGTTTACTACTTCATATATTTTATAATTTGAAATTCATTTTTTCATGACAATAATCCCCATCTTCAAAACTCCTCGTCCTCATAATTTATTATATAGGTGTCTTTGAAGTCAATCCTTTAAAATTTTACATAATTATATCTCCATTAAAAGGCCTAAAATTTAGTACCTTTACATGTGTTATAATTTGAAAATAATACATCTTGTGATTCCTTATGTATTTATTGAAGATTACTCACAGAAAAAATACGGATCAAAGAAAAAGCATTATTTTTCCATATATATATTTTATTTTTTCAAAAATAAAATAATCTGTCACACCGGCAATAATTATAATGATATATGAACACATTCACACCAAATATAAAGAAAAAATAAAATTAAAATAATAATCAAAAACTATAAACATTAAAAACAAAAATACCTATGTATATATATATATATATATATATATATATATATATATATATATATGTTGATATTCACATAATGAAGTGGATAAATATTCTTACTTACTAAACAAATATAATTAAATGTTAAAATGGATGTATTTACATATTCGAGAAAGAATATTGTTCCATTAAAGCTCTGTTTGTAATTTCATGAAAATGAAAATATAATTTAGTTCAGGCTGTTAGGCCTGTTAATGGATTTATAATTATGGAAAATTTTTAGGAATTGACTTAGAAGATAATCATATATTTAATAAATTATAAGAACAAGAAGGAATGTACTGAAAATGGGGGTATTATTCTGAATCTTTAATAGTGTATTTCAAATAATAAAATATATGAAGCAGTAAATGGAAGCAATTTATACTGAATCAATAAGAAATGATTATTAAATTAAAATAAAAACTAATTATCTGACGTTGAACTTCAAATGGAGAATGTAGTATCAAAACATTAATTCAAAATAAATTAAACAGAAACGGTGGTAGTGGCGATATTGTTGATCGCAGATCAAATATTAGAAGCTTGGATGCTTTAATAAATGAAATTACACAGAAATATTATTTGTTATTATAAGTACTTTTATTTTATTATGTGCCTACTTTTCCGTCTACGTTTCAGATGTGAAAACACATTTGTTAATGTTCTAATTGGTATTTATTGTTTTTGCACAGTCCTGATGATATCCTAAACTACGCCGAAACGTCACCCCGTAATGAAATAATGTTTGTTGTATGTGTTATTTCATTTATGACTGCACCTCCAAGCAATTTCGATGGACCACCTGTGTCATTTTCGACCTATATTACAATTAGATCAACTACTACTTAGACATAAATAACAAAACTACATTTAACAAATACAATTTACAGTTTAGGAAGTTAAAAAAATATTACAATTGAATTAAAGTTATGAAATTCATCTAATAAAAGAAAACATATTTTGGAAGACTGGTTTGTTGGATGAAGATTGTGTCCTTTATAATTAATACGCTCATCTAATAACGAATATATGATTTTAAAACAGTTATTCATTTATGTAAATTTTAAAAAAATTATTATTATCAAATTATTATTATTAATTTTATAAAAGTTATCATCAGGCCCATTAAGTTAATATCTTATTTATTAGGTAGTCTAGATAATTCTAATTTATATTTAAATTTGAATAAGAAATGAACTTTGATTTTCAACAATTGCTAACATTCTTTTTTGCAAAAAGAATTTCATTTATCTTATTTAGTGTGAGCCAGAATTAAGTATTCCGGGAAAAGCGGAAACAACAGAAGATAACTTTTTTTAGCATATATTAATATATCTATTTTAGTATAAATGAATATTTTATACAAGAAATATATTCTTAATAATCTGGAGTACTATGGTCCAACTATGCGATATACATCTTGTCAAGCAGTAGCTGATTTAATATTTAATTTTGAAAGATTTTTTTTTTATATGTAGGTATTACTGTTGCCCAAATGCGAAACCGAGACGAGTCTTAGTCTTGAAAACTCAGTCTTGATCATGGACTTGGTCTTGCGCAAGAGTCTCTTAACAGTCTTGCAATTACTTATCAGCCTATTAGTATAGAGAAATTACTGTAATTTTTTAGGTAAGAGAAACCTAACTAAGCCTGAATGAAAAATTAGAGGAGTTGAATGCAAAAGTATATTGGTTATACCAATTATTAACACATGGTAACTAAGATTGTCAAGTATTAGTAACTATTTTGCCATAATTTTTATTCAAAAAATCAATTTTTTTTACCAGTCGTGGTCTTGGTCTTGCAACAGTTAGGCCAAGACCGATTTTGGGCAACACTAGTAGGTATAACGATAATAATTTGGTATGAAAAAAAAAAAAGAAACGAACTACCTATTTGAAATGGTGTTTAAGTGATTCTTGATGTCCTATTAAAAAAGTAATTACAAGAATAATAATACTCTTAGAGATAATATTTTTTATAAAACGTGATTGTATGTAGTTGCTTTATATGCATTATAAGTTTAAATTATTAAAAGTAGATATATGTATCTAATTAATTACTTACGTACTTATAGAATATAGTAATTATATTTATATAATTACTATAAATTATATAGTAATTATATTAATAACATATTTTGATTTTTTAACTATTTAGCTTTGGTCACTCATAGTAACCTTAGAAAAAAAAATCCATTTTGGAGGGGCTTTAATCTGGAGCCCACTTTAGATCCGCCTGTGTTGTCAAGTGCTACGTAATTTTTACTATTGGTACTTAAGTTTTGAAAGCTATTGAACCAATATAGAAAATAAAAATAAAATGTATATAAAAGAAGTGATGTAGATAATAAAAAAATATCTTAATATAAAATGAAGAATGATAAAAATGAAAACAGAAAAAAAATAGTTTAGCTCCAGTCTGAAATCAAGGATGAGATTACACGATTCATTGTTGAGTAAGTGACCACGAATCTGTTGAAAATAATGGTTGATTGTAGCTGATGTGTTCTTTATTTTTTTTTAAACCATCGCCTGCCCGAGGCCCATAAACCCAGAGCAGAGCAAACCAGACCCGTCTAATAAACACGAGAAAGGAAGAGATTTCTCCTTGTCCGTTCAAGTTACCGTATCCTCTCTACTTCATTCCTTTTTGTAATCATTCACAAAACGGAATCATGAGAATGCAGCAAAATAATGCATTAAAAACATTGATGTTTTCATTAATAGACTTGGTTGTGTTTTATATCTTGTAGAAAGGCTCTACAGGTTGCTAGTAAGTGGTGTTTATTTTTTCGAGGGTTGTAAATTTTGTTGTAAGATGATTGTATTTACGTTAGCGGTCGGCGGGGAACCACATCCTAGCCGCAGCCAGCTGGCCCACGCAACCTCACCGCCTCCTCTCTGTCGCGGTTTAGTCGATTATATATTTAACGCCCCTATGTTATTTAATGTTCGGTGAAAAATTAACCAATTTTTTTTTAGTGTAAATAAGATGCAATATTGTACCTAAAGTAATCAAAAAATTGATAAACTTTTGTCGGTTAAAATTTAGTTAAAATTAATTAATTAGTGAAGCGACATTGTTGTGATTAGATCTAATCCAAGAAGGTATAATGAGGTCATAACGTTGACTCCAGGTCAATTCTTGAAAATTAATTTATTTAATCGGTTCATAATTTTATTAATTGGCTATATTTATTTATATTCCTTTAGAATAAGAATTTTCTTATTAATAGAATTTTAAAATTTAGTTCAATTTTAAAAATTTAGTAGAATTTTAAATTTATAGCAAGGGACTTGGTCTTAATACAATTTACATTTCAACCATAATCCTCATATTACAAACTTAAACATAAACAAATGCATCAACAATAGCAACAATCATTATTTTATTTATTTATTGGCTAAGTAATTATATATTTACAATAACCACTAATTTATAATTTATAATAACTTTGTAATTTACAATAACTAATATTGTATTTTTTACATTGTTTTTTTTTTTTAAATCCAAGCAGGGTCACAATAGATTCTTCAACATCTTCTATAAAATAGTTTCCTGGCTCATTTTCTTTCCAAATAGGAGCAATATTCCAATAAACTGTTTTCATCATATTTAGTACTAGTATCAAATTAATAATTAAAGGAGAATCCTGTCTCTGTGTTTTAAGAAGTAAGAATTCGAATAATTTAAATGAAATTTTTTATGTTGGGACCATTATGATGATAATCTTGGAATAATGTATGTCGTCGTATTTACATCGCAGGAAATATAATTCTTAGATTATACGATGAATTATGATGAGTATATTGTTTACAGATAAAGAATGAGTATCCATATCCATATCCAAGATAACATGAACTAGATATTATTAGATGAAATTATATTGTATGGTAATAAAAACTGAATATATATGTACAACTGTTCTATTTTTATGGGGCTGTTGTTTTTTTTATTTTATTGAGTATTAATACAGTCTGCCACACTGAAGGGCATTGGTACAAGGGCTATAGTATTCATTCCCACAATATGTACATGGTGAAGGAAAAAAAAAATAAAAATAACGAAGTAAGAAGAGAAAGGAAAAACAAATATATATATTTTCCTTTCTCTTCTTACTTCGTTATTTCTTGTGTTTAACGTGTATTCTTGTATATATAAATTCTTTCTTGCATGTATATATATATATATATATATATATATATATATATATAAAAAAGATAAAGTATAGATAGATAGAAAGTAAACTTTATTCTGGAACGAGGTCCCTTATGAATAACAGATATGAACAAAAAAATAAAAACTACATCTGGCCAAAATTACATTAATCAATATTAAAGAATATATACAGTATCTTCATTGAAATTAAATTAAAACAAGTAAAAATAAAATAAAATTTTGAGAAAAAACGAAATAAAAAAAAATTATTTAAATGAAAATAAAAAAAATAAAATAAGAATGGGTTGATTTTTAAAATTAAAACTCAATAAATTTTATCAACCATTCACCTCAGTCAAAATCTGTTTCACAATATTTATTTTATTGTATAACGTCATTTCAACGTCAAAAGTAATATTCAAGATAAGTAAAATTTAAACACATCCACACCTATGTACAATATAGTCTCAGAATAAGAAAATTTTTCTATTTTATGTATAGAACAATAAACATTATTCCCGAAATAATATTTTACAATATAACAATAATTAATTTATGTGTGATGGTTATCCTCTTAATAATTTATATATGTATACACACTATATATATATAATATATAAGAGAGAATTTATATATATATATATATATATAAAAGAGAGAATTTATATATATATATATAAGTGAGAATTTATATATATATATATATATATATATATATATATATATATATATATATATATATATATATATATATTAAATACATAACGAACTAAATTAAGTTTTAAATGTATAGTAATCTTGAAACATTCAATTTTAATCCTTTTTTAAGCATTTCTCCATTAATAATGAAAATAATTAGAGTGAAAATAAATAATGTGAATATTACATGCTTAGTTTTTAATTATAAAGTTTTTCTAGATTCACTGGTGACAATACAGTTATAAAATACTACGAGAGGGATTTTAATATGATAAGAATATGTGAAAAACAATATAGTTTTATAAGTTATATTTTATTTGAAATATATATTAAATAAAAAATAAAAATGTAGCTTTTGTCTTCTGTAAGGGAGGATTATGGTCTAGTGGATAAAACATTGGACACGTTTTCGATACGTGACTGGGATAGTGAATTTTCGTCACTGCCCCCTATATTTGATATTGATTCCGTGTTCGGCCATCCTCCGTCAAGCGGGTACCTGACGTTTATCCTCATTCTTCCGGTTGCAGTTTTGTTTGTTGGTAAAACTTGGTAAAGTAGCTGTCGATAAATAATATTCAATGAGGTAGAGAAGAACAATTTTACAAAGATCCCCTAAGAGGCAAGCAATGCTCTTAGTTTAGATTTATTACCTTTAATCGCTATCTTGCGACAGGTCCTAGAATCACTGTCCGTTGTAGAGTAAGCCGTGAGGGGACATGGGATATCCCGCGTGCGCGCTTTAACCAATGGACTAGAAGGGATTTATGGCGAACCGAGCTCTGATAACGGGCAATGCTCTTCTTTCTCTCAATGCCTCCCTTCGGGTTTTCCGAAAGTTTGATAATAACGCTGAGTAGGGTCTACTTATTATAGCTACTGGGTCTATGGGTCTATGGGTCGATATAATGTAACTAGTGGAAGTATTACAATAAAATAAAAACATGTAAAGTTAGACATTTTTTTCGAGATCTTCTCGGATCTCCTTGTTCTATCTATGTGATTCCTACAATGTAGCCTTTATCGCTTATTATGTCGCTTTATACCTGGTAAGTTAGTTCAAATATAAGATTCTCACACAATTTAAACGTTTAAAAACCCAGTTTATTTAATATAATGCTTTCCAAACAACATCTTCTGTTATTGAATATTTGTAAAATATTTCAAGTAACATATGCTCTTAAATCATTTTGTGGATGATAAATGTTCAGGACGCAGTCTTTTTTAAAAGACTGGAAGCGTCCTGAATATTTATCACCCATGATATGTAGAACAGTCGCCTAACTTCCTTCATTAAATCATTTTGCAATATATTTAGAACTAGTTTGCGTTTAGAGTCGTAAAAATATAAATCATGGAAAATATAAAAATATATAACATACGTCATTTACAACACGTATTTGGGCGTCGTGGAATGAAGTTTTCTTATTACATAAGAAGCTTATATGTCGTTTTTGGACTTTTAGAGTTATGTCTGCATATATTTAATGTTATACTACAGATAATTATATATCATCCACATTGTTAATGTGTACAAATATATGAACTCGCACATCTCAATTTATCTATAATTTCATATGTCTACCAGTGCCTTTACTTTATTTTAATTTTAGATCTAGATAACCTTGTAATTTAATTTATTCCCAATTATTTCTTATTCCAGACAACTGTCTTTGATTTGTACATTGTAGTTATTCTAAAGGGACTTAGTCCTGGAATAAAGTAAATAAATAAAAACTTTTCTTCTTCTATATGAGATTTAAGTTGTTTTGATGAAGTATGAATTGGCGAATCGTCGACTTGTTGAATTCAAGATTTAAGGCTGTTTTAATTTTTTCAATATAAATCTGTTTATGAAGTAGAATAAACAAATTTTTAATAAACGATATTGAATAGCAATTGAATCAATACATCTATAAAACGAACACAAAATATATTGGGATGGAAAATAATCAGAAACTGCAGTCATTGAAGGTTTTAATTAAGTTTGCCGACCTTATGATCCAAAAACAGCAGTTCTTGTCTTGCCTGCAAAGGATTTCCCTGATGATAAACACATGCTTCGGTCACCATCAATGAATACATACATTTTCATCCTTGTGATTTTAGCAGTCAGCTATATCCCGATCTTTAAAACGTACATACATGTACATCTATAAATCATTAACAAGATGAAGAAAATGTATGATGACAATCGACCGCTGCCACTTCTAGATATTAAGTTTCCGCCGGGAACAATCTATCATTACCAAACTTGGGATAGGACACACTAAGCTGATCCATGAGAACCTTTTTATAAGGAATCTATCTCCAAGATTCTTCAGCTCTAACAGTGCATTGACTTCTGAATATATCTGGAATCCAGAATATATACTGTCAAGATCGGCGTTCATAAAAAAATTCTCTCCGGAGCTAGTAAATTCGTAACAGATGTAAATATTAAAAAATCCTGTTGGATTAGACTATATTTAATAAAATAACAATTTATTATCAAATTACATAATTTTTTAAATATTTGTTTAGTAAGTTGTATCTGCAGACATTTAGTTATTAATAAACGTTCGAAGAATGTATATTCGAGCTTCTTTTCGGACCGTTTACGGCAGACAATCAGGAGTTGATAAGAGGACTTGGATTCAGCTTGGAATCCTATTGTCATATTTTTCAAAAGGTCTTTAGACCAGTTCCGTTTCAACGTAAGAGGAGATTTATGTGGATAAGTGAAACTGGATTAGGATTGACCATGGATACTGATGATTGGAAATGTTTATCTTTTTTTTTCACCCGAAATTGGAAGGTAAACGTTTTAGAATACAAGCAATATAGTTGAAGAATAATATGACTAATTTTGGCAACATGTTTGAGGTTTGAAATTCTAACTGGTACTGTATTTCTGTAAATGATAAATGAAGATCCTGTAATGAAAATGTTAAAGATCCTATATATAGGTGAATAGTCTAAGAAGGCTGACTGTGTAGTTAAGCATTAATTTTTTTTTAATTTTTTACATGCTGCCGTTGTGTGTGTTGTTTTAAATTGAATCTCACAACAACTTTATGTTTTGAGTTTGGGTAAAACAATGGTATTGAGAAAGATTGGCAGATAAAAATTAAATCAAAATTATTTTTTAATGAATACTTATTAATATTCAATTTAAGCATTATAAATTATTGATGTATTGGAATAAAAAAAATAGAATAATAATTTCCTTGATTACATAAAGGACAGACTGTATAATTAGCCGAGATCAGATAGGCAGAGAAATTAGAACTGAAAGGAGATCTAGATGCTGAGATAGGTCGAGGTAATGTGAGCAGATAATTGTCTCCAGTATCCTCCCCTAATAGGGCACACCAGCACCCCTATTGCAGGTAACGGGTACTAATTACGGATTGTAAGAAGGGGTTTGAAGGTTCTGAAAATATCCATCTTTATGTGAGATGTTTATTGCTAGAAAAAAATATATAGGTACATATTTATATCAAATTCTTTTCAGCTATTTAATTTTGATTCATGCGGAAATTTTTACTCTTAACATTTCTTGTAGTTTTCTTACATTCCAACCTAAGAAAGGTGAAGAGTCAAGTGAGCGAAAGTATTATTTGGCATATCGGCTCCCTCCTCTGTCCCCAACCATCAATAGTTACTGTTACAAAAACCAAAAAAAAAAAAAAACAACAATAACAAATAATCTACATGAATAAATAAAATTTGTAAATTAAAATTAATTAAGAAAATAGGAAAAGTCAACTAGATGGCTATGCTAAGGCATAGAAGTAGGCATGTAATTATTTTACCGCCCCCTAAACGGCGAGAGTTTATCTCTCTGCCCCAAACTTCAAAAACTTCAGGTACTTTTCCATATACAAAAACTCGATATTTAGAATAATTTATACTACTCAATCTCACCAACTTCCCTGAATCTGCACGCATGATCTTTCAAGGACTGTTTTTCTCGACGGATTGGTAAGCTGGTTTTACTTCCAATCGTTTTTCAACCACCTGTTATGTACTCCTTCCTCTTCTGTCTGATTTCTGCTTGATTGTTACCTAACTTATTTTTATGTTAGGCAACCAGAAGAAGTTCTTTGCCTCTGCAATTATCACAAACTCACGGCCCTTAAGAATGGGAAATTTTAGACCAAGCTCCTCCTTATCTTTTCCTCTTTTCTTATTTTCTGGGTTAGTTGTATTAGCTTGGATCTGGAGTGTTCTTTTCCGTCTTTAGTGATGGCCGAATTCGGTCATCCCAAGACCAAGACCACCTAATGGTTCCAAAATCAATACCACTTAATTGTTCCATGGCCAAGACCGCTTAATTATTGGAAGACCAAGTTCGAGACTAGTAAAAAAAAAAGTGTTTTTGTGAATAAAAACTAAGGTCAAATTGTTACTAATACTAGACAATTATAGTTACTACTGTATGTAAATAATTAATAGAACCAATATACTTTTGAATTTAACTCTTTCAATTTTTCGCTCGAAGTTAATAGTTGGGTTTACCTATTATAAAAAATGACAGTAATATCTCTATAGTATGTAGTGGTAACATTTTTTTAAATGTTATTAAATTTTCGAAAAAACTATTAAAAAAAAAAATCGTCTAAATTATAATTTTGTTCATAGTATAAACTCTTACACATTTTTTTTTATTTTTGGTCCATTCCCATCTCTCCTTCAATCAAAATATAAAGTTTGCACTTATGAATGTTTTCTAATCAGTTGCAGGATAAATAGTTTAATTTTAATTTGGTTGTATTAATTTTTTATTTATACTTTTTCAATCATACATATACAATCGTAAATTGTTAAATATATTTTTATTGTTGTTTTCCAGGAGGCTGAAAGTGCCATCACTGCTATGAACGGCCAGTGGCTTGGCAGCAGAAGCATCAGGACAAATTGGGCAACTCGCAAACCACCTGGCCCGAAATCGGATGGTGAGTCCCCCATTTATATTTTATTTTTTGATTCATTACATTATCTGTTAGCTTTCTATATTTTATGTCATCATGTCATTTGTTTTTACCTATTCTATGTGTTTTTATTCTAAATGTTTTTAGTTGTTTTTTTTAACTAGTATTATTACGTTTTTTTTTGTCAAAATCTTTATGTCATTACAAATGATTTAGGTTATTTTTATTTTTGTTTCTAGTTAACATGTTTCAATAAATACCCATTCACTTCATCAATTGATTCATCTTTTTTCATCGCTTCCATAAATAATTTTTTTAATACTAAAGCAAAACTTTCTATTTTATAACTTTACGTAGTCACTATAATATAGAACTTTATCATTTTCCCCCTTTATTTAATATAATATGTATCTAATGGATATTTTTCATTTGCGGTTGCTTTAATTGCTGTATAAATCGAAATTTATCTTCAACTCAACGTTGGCATAGACCATATTTTATACTAAATACGAAAATAATCAAGATTTTCGAGACCAATAATAAGCTAGTTTGTCACTGAATCGTTCCGTATATATCAATTGTATTTAATATCTGACTGTTAATTTGGCGTTCATTATGTTTGATGAAACTTATCTTTTGTATCTCTTAAAGAATGATTTTCGTCCAATAGTTATTTAATTACGTTTTGTTTATTGAACTATCCTGAAAAATAAACCTGTATTTTGTTTTCCGTTGATGAAAAATAATTGGGCCGATTATATGGTTCCCATGGCAACTATATCGTTTGCATGATACAAGCTATCTTCCATTCGTACTATAATTGCTGGCAAAGCTTGAAAATTTAATCACTTATCATTTACTCTATTTCTCAATTCTCAGAATTTGCCTAAATCGATTACACACGACCTTTATATTAATCCATTTGTTAATAAAAAATATGTTAATATAAGTAATATTAAAATAACTACTACACATTTTTAGAATGGATAATATATTCCCCAAATACTATTTCAATTACCTCGTTAATTAATTTTTACTCTTTTCTTATTATAAAATGGTTGATTACCCGTTATTTTTATCCATATTTGTTTCTACTCATGCGGCCAGTGTACAATTCCATTTCTTCTTAAAATTTACAGAAACATATATATATATGACGTTATTCAAATTATTTGATTGAGAGTTATCAAATTTATTTTCCAAATATCCCTTAATTAAATTAAACATCGATTATCCACTACTAAGTACAATTATCCATACATATCAATAATCAAAATAGTGGTTTCATTAATTATTTGGGTTAATCGATGCCGTTGAATAAAGTAAAAAGAATTATTTATTTAATGAGCTCAAACAAATGATTGTAGTTTTATTATATTTTGTTGTAATACGTCCAATTGGTTAGTGTTCGTAAATTACTTAAGGAATGCAAAATTAATAATATTAAAATCATGAAAATATGCATCATATTCTAAAAAAGTTAAGGTTAGAGAATAAATTGATAAAGAGAAAGTATAAACTTCCATCAATACAGTTTTTATTTGTATCGCTGTTCGCAAAGTTGTATGAGAATTGACTTTAAAGCGATTGTGAAAGAACATATGGTGCAATTTAAATATAAAAGTTTAAATTTATTTTTGCTCTATAAATTTTCGTGAATAACTGTTGATTGAAGAGTTATTTTTCCTAAATAACAAGAAGAAAACAACAATTAACCTATAGATTTGCGGAAGAATCAATGGGTGAGGCGGAAATAGCCGCTGTCACAAAGCCGATTGCATTTCTTTTTTATGAAATTAAAATAGGTTATTATATATATATAGATATAAGTTATGATTCGACTGAAGAAATATCAACACAGCTTCTGGTAATGAAGTGGCTTTATTTCGAACTCTTATATAAAATTTCTTCACTGTATTAATACAACACTTTTGTAACCTCACCGTTTTGTTATCTATCAATTCTCTATATTAACATGTGTTTTTTAAACAATTATTTAGCTTATCTTTAAGAATAATCTAATATACATCCTATATACAGTCAACTATCAATAAATATATATATATATATTTATATATATATAATATATATATATATATATATATATATAGATTCATCCGCAAATATAGATTAATTGTTGTGTAGGGCAGTTACAAAGCCGATTGCATTTATATATATATATATATATATATATATATATATATATATATATATATATATATATATATATATGACATGATATAAATAAACCTATTGTATTTTAGTATAGTTTTCACCAATGCATCCCATTAATTTAATTATATAATTAAATAGTCTTAGATACTGAAGTAAGCCTGAGGTGGAGTCTAAAAGCTTTTGATGTAGTTTGGTGGCTATCATAGGAATTCTTTTTATAAGTTTGTGGTTTTGCATTATGCAATATGTCATTATGAACATATTACCATACATAGCAAGGCATTGCGGAATAGTTGAGAAAGTGATTGGAGGGGGCATTATCTTGGCCGATATTAACGATGAGGTGGGATGACAGTAGTGAAGTTATTTGCAAGTTCTGGCGGAGCTGTTGAGATTACAGGAGACATCAAAGGTAGAGCTCAACAATGTAATAGTCACCGGCGCCTCTGCACCTCCGCCTCATTGCTCCAATGCCTTCCCTCCCCCCGCCCTCCTCCTCCCCCTCCCTGTCAACTTTATACTAACTCCTTAGAGATCTACTTTAATTACTATTCTATTGTAACGTTCCCATTTGTAACTGTAACTATTTTAATTGCTGTGCTGCCTTTTGATGATAATAAATAGAATGTAACGGTTGCAATATATATAAAAAAAAAAAACGTGTGGGAATTGACCACTTCGATGTTGGTGGGTGAAATAAATACATCTTACTTTAGTAACTTTGATAAATTTTCAACGAGGATTTCGATCAAAAAGTTCAGCATAATTGGCATCAGTTTGAAATTTTCATATTTTCCATAATGAATTATGTTTTTAGGTATTTTATGAATACACAGATTGCGTTAGAAATTATTATTTATTTACTCCCATTCTTGGCATTACGTACCCATACCATCCTCGCTAGAAGCCAAGTATAAATTATCTACGTTGACCTTATTGATTTTTATCATTCAACCTTCATGGTTTTCAGCTTCCAGCTTCGTCTTTGGGTGTTCTCTTTGTGACTTCACCCTAGATTAAAGTATACTGGGCTCACTACATATTTTTCTCCATGCAAAAAATCTTTGTCCTCCAGGTTATTAAATTTGAATAGCATTTTATTGGTAAATGACAGTGAAGAACTCTGTGACTGGAGCAGGAGCTGGTAATTTCAGCAAAATAAAATGCTTAAGTCTATCCTCCTCTACATAAGATTAGACATCTGCCAATAGCCATCTTATATTGTAACTAGAACAATATCAAACTAAATCGTAATCTAATGTAATAAACAAAACACAAGATTGATTTAAAGGAAGGAGATGGTCCGGGGTGGCGGTCATAAATAGGCTAAATAGTGGCAAAACTATTTTATTAAAAGCCAACATTTCGACCCGACTGTGCAGGTCTTCTTCAGGGAGATGTGTTCAGCTAGGAGTTTCACTTAAAACTCAAGTTCAGTTCTAAGTCGTTCAGTTCATATCATGGGATATCGATTTACCAGTTTCTGTAAGCAATTATTTATTGGTTTTTCTTCTTCATGCGTTAGTACTCAGATCCCAGATCGCTCCGGTTATCGTGCGAAGGATTTTCCTTTCAAATCTTTCAACAATTTTTTCTAGGGTGCTGGTTAGTGTAAAGGTCTCACAGCCATATATTAGAATTGGCTTCATAGTAGTATTGCACACCCTTAATTTGAGATTTCTTGAGATTTTTCAATACCTTTAGGAGGGAGAAGAAAGCTCTGTTTGCGCTAGTTATATGCTGGTATATTTATGTCCGTTGGTCATTCATTGAAGTTATTGTGGAACCGAGCTATTTGAATTTTTCCACTCGCGGGAATGATTTTCCTTCTACGCAGATCCTGTGGAATTTTCGGCTTATTATCATATATTTTGTTTTGTCATAATTTACTTGTAGGCCGATATACTCTGCCTCTCTTATCAGTGTTGTAGCGAGTTTCTCAATGTCTTCTTGGTTATTTCTAAGGACATCTATATCATCTGCGTATCGAAGGATTTCATGATTCATTCCGGCGTGGACCCCTACATTTTCCTGGGATGTAACTCTTATTACCTTCTCCAGGACTAAGTTGAACAACATCGGTGATAGCCCATCTCCCCGTTCGGACTTTGAAAGCTTCAGATACTTCTCCTTGTTTTAGGACTCTACATTTGGGGTCATTTGTACACGCCTTTGTCAATCTCTCCAACTTACCGGGAATTCTCAGGTCAGTTATGATTTTCCAAAGACAGCTCCTGTCCACAGAATTATAGGCTGCTTTAAAATTAACAAATAGGGCCTGGACGTCCTAAGCTACTTCCCATCATTTTTCGAGTACTTGTTTTAGGATGAAGATCTGGTCTAGCTTAATAATAATTATTATTACAATGTATAATTATTTTAAACGAAGCGATTAATGCAATTGACTGATTAGTTATTTGCTTGTATTTGCGAGACATATCTTTTAGAACTTTTTTTTGATATCCTAGTAATAAAAAAAATTGTTAATGTAAAAATTGTAAATCCTTTTGAACCTAGCTTCTCTTCTGTTACTGTAGTGCATATGATTATAAATAAAAGAAATGAAAATGCTTCCGCGCGGACGATGCTACAACAAGGCGATAAGGTTGAAACAAAATAAAAATGAGAAAGAAAAAAAAACGAGTAAAAATAGCGTACTCGGCACTTTCAAATCCCGGGCTTTAGTTAGAAGAGGAAGCTGGGAGAGAGCGATTTTAACAACATCCCCAGAGATCGGATCCCGTGTTACGAGGACTCTGGACCAGAGGAAAAAAAAAGAGAGAGAAAAAAAAGAAAGAGAATGGGGAAGAAAGGAGCAGAGAAAAAAAGAAGGACAGAGAGCGAGGAGATAAGGCTAATCAGGGTCTATCTATCGATTAGGAGGAGGGATGATTGTGGATTAGTGGTGTGGTGTGGTCAGCTAATTGGGACTCGGCCCTCGGTTCTGTTTTTGCTCAGGGTCTCAGGTAATCCCTCCTTAAGCGGGACGAGGACTCTTCGAAAGGCCTTTCACTGCCCGGGGTAAATAGGAGCGGGTAAACATTTGGAGTAGTCGAGTATCCTAGCAGGAGGGTTGCTGGTTAGGGGATCGTCTGTGATTAGTATCTGTAAAACGAACAACATTGGTTAAGGATATTTTCTCCATCTTCTGAAAACAACCCTTTTTCTTGTAATACATTTATGAGCAAAATAAACATATGGTATTTTATAGTAAGCTAACGTTTTTTAATTAAAATATTTTAGTCACTCTCGTTGACCCAAAGCGCACTAACATTATTCCATTACCGGTTCACAAAAAAAAAAGTATACTAAATATAATACAGCTCCATACCTTTTTCGTCTCCCATGAGGGATGGATTTTGATAAATGACTTATCAATCGAAACAGGATTTCATGGATTAGTGACGAATACAATTTTAGCTGATGTTTATTTTCGCCATGAATCCAGAGGGATATTTTCCAATGGGAGAAGCTAATCATTTATTAAATAAATTATTACTTCAACAGTCGTGGCAAAGTATTAAGCTTCACTTATTGTTTGTATTGAATTAGCTATCTTGAAAATATTATATTGTATTTACGAATAAACATGTTTCGCATACTATCCATAATATACTACTATACATACTACCCCCAATTAGCCGATGTGAGTTGTTTTTTTTAAGTATATGGAAAGCATTGTGGAGAAGGATCTAATATGCGAGTTCTCACTGGAATATGCAAGTTCGAGAATAATTTTATTTATGTACACACTGCTATTATAATCGAAATTTTCTCCTCTAATCTCGATAAATAAATGCTACTTAGTGAAAAAAATAAAATACTTCTCTTTAGTCATCCCCTTACTAGGTTAAAGTAACTTAACGGTTTTCTAATTATACTCAACTTAAATACTGTGTACTAAGTTCCTAGAAAACATTAAAAAAACCATTAAACATCTGATAAAGCTGTAACTACTTTTACGTATACATAGTATCACTACAATCCATGAGGGGTCTTGGGTTTAGTTCTATTTAGGGAAAGTACTGTTTCTTAGTCTTAGTAATGTTTCTTAGTTTTTGTCCTTAATAAATTATTTAATAAAGGGTACCCACTTTGTAGAGACTGGGTGTGCCCCAGGAGGGTCTCCTGATCCTTGGGTTGCATCACGGCTGATAAAAGAGAATAAAATGTTTGTCTGCCATGAGCTGAGATTCGAACCCGGGACCTTGAGCATTGGAAGATCAGTGACCTACCACTGAGCTACCCCGCTACCCCATGACCACTTTAAACTTTTTAAAATTTAAATGTATTAAGGTAGGCCTCTATTTTTCATATTTCATTCACACCTTGCAATAATTTTTCATTAAACTTTAACTGGACTGTCGATCGTTTAAGGTTACTTAAAAAAAAAAAAAGTTTGTTGTTGTATATATTACGGATTTACATATGCATTATACATAAATTAAAAATAATATAGAACAGAACTGAAGGAAACAGACAATGTTTAATTTATTAGTTTCAAGGTGTAAAGAACTGAATCGATCGGGGGAGGGGAATCTTTAAATATAAATATATTTCCTTTTTTTTAATCTGCAAACTGAATCAAGTTCTTTTTTATTATTTTTTTCTCATTGCCGATACCATTCGTCTTAGCAAAGCATTGTGCTACGGGGCGTTCGTTGTGCACGCAAACTCACAACTCCCAGAAAAAGAGACATAAATCATTGAAAATGTATGTTTTCAAGAAACCAGATAAAAAAGTTCTGACTGAGAAAAATGCACGTCGCAGTCTAGTGAAAGGTAAATATTAAAGCGACAACGAGTCACTAAATTGTTCTCAATCCTTTCCATTTATATATATATATATATATATATATATATATATATATATATATATATATATATATATATATATATACATACTTTGTAGCTTAAGTACTTGTTTATATTTCAGAAAATTATTTGATAAATTATTTTTTAAAGAATACTTAAGAAATGGAAGTTTCATTTCATTTTTTTTTATTTGGGTTTTATACAACTTAAGGAGTCATATCCCCAACACCCAAATGCCACTGCTCCTTGTCCATCCAACCTCCTTCACGGAGCCCTCTGGCTGCCATGCTTTCCTCTATCCATTTCTTCTTTGGCCTTCCACGCTTCCTTCTTTCAGGTGGCATATAGGTATAAATTTTCTTTGGCCAGCGGTTCTCATCCATCCACATTAAGTGGCCATACTACTTTAACCGTTTGGAAGTTTCATTACATTCCTTGAAAAAAAAAAATCAGTTTTGAAAATTAATTTATTTTTATACCATCGGATTCATTGGTTGTTTTTAAAGTGTATTAAATAAATATCGCTATCTCGATTTCATAAGAATTCGGTTTGGTTTCACTTTGAAAATAAGCGACTCAATTTACTTAACATATTTTTGTTTAGTTTATTTTTTGCCTATTTTGATTTCTGCTTCTAATCGATTGATGGATTTCAATTATGAAATTAGCGTTGAGTTTGGGAACTTCTTGTTTATGTGCACAGAGAATGATATATAGTTCCTGATTAAATTTATAATTTTTCGAAAAGCACTAGAAGGAAATCAAAGGTTTTAAAACCAGCAGCAGGAATCTTTTTGATATATGCTAATTTATTAAGTAGAAATAAAATTATCATTAAAAAATAATTTCTCAGTGGCTTTATCTTAAGATAGGTGTCGATTGTTGAAGATAAGTAATAATGAAAATTAAGTAAATGGAGGTACTTCGCCGCGGGTTATGAACAAGCATTCTTAATCTTGCCCTGGAGAAACCCCTCGGGCGATTACAACTGGAGATGCGGAATCAGCAGAGCTATCGGAAGGGAAGGACACGATCAGCTCCTAAAAAGGACATTGGTCCTGCCGAAGATAAAAGGACAGTGACACCTGAGGACTGGGTTTACAGCGGCCCTTGCATAGGTGAATTATAGAGAGCGGGCCGGGGGGAGGCACGGCGCTAGGAATACTAACCAGGAAAGCTGGTCGTTAGGGCCCCTCTGCATTATGAACTTCAACCCCCTCCTTCCCCCCATCCACTCCCCTCTTCCCCTCCCTAAATAATATATCAGTCACTCTTGTTAGTTCTCTCTTTTATTCTGTCTTGTTATGTTTTTCTACAATTCAGTTCGACGTCATCTAGGAGGGGAAAAAAATTAGTTCGTCGTCTTTCTCGAGTTTTCTTGTGTAAAGGGTGAGGGAATCTATACCACGCTTTGATCGGAAACGTATATAAACCTACGAAGTAAAGACTTCTTCCTTGTTAAGACGAATCTCAACTGTTTTTGCTTCTTTAACAAAGGTAGAGGGAATGTGCTAAATTTTTTTTTCAGCTCTCGGGAGGAAAGATATTTTATTTAAACACTATCACTATAGCCTTATAATTGTCTTATCGAAGTATTATAAAATAAAATGTAATTTTTATTTTACGATATATAACTCTTTTTTTTTTTTTTTTGTAATATTTTCTTCTCTGATTCCAAATTTCCTCTTATTCGAAATTCGAAGGACAAATTCAAAGTGGAATATATATATAAAATAAATATATATATATATATATATATATATATATATATATATATATATATATATTTATATATATATATATATATTACTCCTATTTTTACTTTCACTTACCTATATATGTAATATATGGTAAGGGAAATTATGTGTAAAAAAATCTGTTCGTGTATGTATGCGAACAGTTGGCTCAAAAACGAGAAGTCATATGCAATTAAAATCCATATTTAAGATTTGTACAAGCCTGGGATGTTACATCAACTTTTTCGTCAGATCAGGTAACTGGAAGTGCCTGTTTATATCATCGATTTTACACATTTCTACAATTTTCTCGAAATCGGCTATGAATCTTTTGATTAAATTCATTAAATCAGTGTGAAATTGACGCTTTTTCATATAATGTAGGTCTCATTCTTATTGATGTTATCTAACAGTGTTTAGATGCCTATGTTTCAAAATTTCTTCCTCTAAAGTACCTTTAATTTTTTTATTTGAAATAATTAACCATTTCACATTGGGAACATATATAAAAAATGATGAAAAATAATGAATGAAGAAAATTGATTGCTAACTAGAGGATAAATTAGGGTTTGAAGCTCTACGGAAACAGCCTAGAACACCGGACATTTGACGATCCTCTCCGTTTACAAAGTATTTGCATACCCAACACCCCTTTTTCATATTGTTAATTTAACTTTTATATATCGCTGATCAATAATTTTTTTAAATGGTTTTTACTCGAAATATTGAGGATCTACTAATATAAACATAATAATATACAATATTTACTAACGATAAGTTATTTTTTCTACGAGTTTCGTGATAAATTTTTGCGATGAAACTCATAATTTTTCTTAAAGATTCATTTTTCCTCACAATCATTAATTAGTATTGATTGATATCAACACTGAGTCGTAAATGAAAATGAAAAGCGATGCAAACGTAAAAACTTGGCAGATTCTATGGGCGGGAAAAACCTGGTAATTATATATTTTTGTATACTATACTATATATTTTCAATTGATTCTATCCAATACAAAATACTGTTGTTATATCAATATATGCATAAAAAAACAAAACCTAATTACTACTATTCCTACGTTTTATCTGTTCCTTTTTGTATTGTTTTTATCTAAAGAAAAAATTCTATTAACGATTTATGGACAAAGAGATTGGTCTTTTCTTGTATAGAATAGCTAGTCTAACAAATTATTCCATATTTTATGGATTAGTTCCCTTCTGCTAAATATCTTGCAGTGGATACTATAGTCAATAATAAACTAACAAATCTACTGTTAATTATTTCTGGTGTATTTCTAATA